TCGCTTGCCACTCTCCTCCCTATAACATGTAGCTACGATCGTAATTAACAAACTATAGCTATGAAGCGTAATTAGGCTATTTTTGAGTGGCTATATGCAAAAGTTTCTCTTTAATTAATCAAAATAAATTAATTTATGTTCATTTATTAAAAACATGACTTCAAGGGAATACTTACTAAAGAAAGATACAATGATAAACTTGTGTAGTTTCTTAAGGGATGTGAAATCTCAAATGATAACATATAAATAGGAAAGGAGAGAGTATTGTTAAGGATACTAGTATTAATTATATTAAAATTATTTTTTATGTAATAACATCTGTTTTATAATACAAAAATAGAATATATGATTTATATGTATATAATATTTTATTTTAAAATCGTGCAAAAAATTTAATTATAATTATACATGCTGGTAAATATGATCAACTATATATATAAATATATAATCTCGCTATGTTATATAATCTCTTTAAAATTTCATTATAAAAATAATATCAATGGCAGCCCTATTATAGTATTATATAATCAGAATTTGCTTTTTGCAAATACGAAAGTAGTCAACAATATCAATGGCACAATTCACGTTGTAATTGCGTAACGTTAATTTGACCGAATAAGAAAAAGTAAAAGTAATGTTGAATATATATTCTATTATGTACCTTTTTTTTAATATATAGAATCGATAACAGATACTCAATAAAATAGTTTGAAGACATATACATTAACTCAAGCACCAATCATACAAAGAAAAGGTATAAAGATATTTAGTCGCGATCGTGATATTAGTCGAGTTAGCAGGTAAAAATATTATATTTATTCTTCTTATTTGTGTAAGTCCCGATGAATAAAGTTATCCATCATGATGATTTTCTGGAAAAAAATTCACGATATTTTCAGAATGCAATAAAAATATGTTATGTGTATTCATATATAATACTTTTGATTAACCAAAATACATTTTATCTTTAATTTATGACCCAACTATTATAAATTAATATGATTTAATATAAATATTAAATACGAATAAATTTATATCTGACATAGAATTGAGCAAAAGGATAGTCAAGCAGATAAGGAATGTTCTGGAAATACTTTAAGGAATATTAAGTACTAGGGATTAGGGAGAATAAAGATTAGATTATGAAATCCTCCTTAATATTTTACTAATTTAATCCACAGGAGTGATTTCTTGTGACAAAACAGTTGGAAAAGAATCTGCCTTTACTTGCAATTTCAAATTTGCTCCATGTGACTTTTAAATTTGTTTCAAGAAATTAAAAATTGATGCTAGGTTTTGAGATATGATTCCATCTGCATGAATATGGTTCAATTTTTTTCTTTATCTTTACGATAAATTGTGTAAACCTCGATTAATTTCATTGGTAATTATAATTATTTCCCATCAACATATCCATCAAAATTGGAACAAATGGGAAAAAATTGTGAAATTTGAAAAAAAGTAAAATAATTTTCAAGATGAAAATGGTATTTGGAATTTTCAAGTTATGTTTGGATATAAATACAATTGAAGTTGTTTTTTAATTGTGAAAACAACTTTTTGGAATTTTTCAAATTTCAAAATCAACTTAATTAATTTTTTTGTTGGTAAAACTGTAACAATTCAATATTTAAACAGTTTTCAAAAATAAAAATTCGGAAAAAGGAAAACCTATTCACTGCCTATGGACACCTCTAGTGTTTTTTGTCTCAGCTAGATTTTAAACTTGAGACGTCATAATTCTCAACAGACTTCATTAACCACAAGATTGTACTTCCCTTGGTGTCTCTCTTAGAACCTATTTGTGTAGTTAATGAAAATCCTACCTTCTGTGGTTAATTCCAAGTGATGTTAATATGTCTATTGGATTATTATTTTTGGCTTGTGGAAGACGACATATCACACGGTAGAAAAGGAGATCCTTAGTGATAATAAATTAATTTTTTAGTACTCTTTTTCAACCTCACGTCCTTAAAAGAACTTATTTTTTAAGTGACAAAACATAATTAAGTGATAATTGTGATAATGTCATTGCATTCAGAATGATTAAAATTTAGCTTTAATGATATTTATATAAAATGTTGATATTATTATCACTAAATATAATATTGCATATTAATTACCGCAAATGCTTTATTTACAGTAGTGTATTTATATATATTGTGTGTGCTTCCTTCGATTGTTCTAATTCAAGGGTTTGACTGTTTGTGAAAATTTAGAGGTGCTAACAGTTCTCCTAATATTTACTATATAAAGTATCCTATTTACCAATTTTAATACTAGTTATTATTTTATATGCGTTATTTTTCTTTTTATCCTGTTTTGATTAAGGTTTTTTTTTAGCCAAGAGTTTATCAGAAACAATCTTTCTACCGATCCAAAGAAGGATTCCACCTCTCCAAACTCTATTTATGATATTACACTAACTATGTTATTATTATTAGTTCTCCTAAAAATATTTGAAGGAAAAAAAAAGTACAATACATGATAAGAGAGTGATTTACTATTATCCATGGTCATTGAAGCTGCAAGACTTATAAGTTCTCTCCTCGAGATTAAATCTTGATTCGAAATAGGAAGTAGAATGATAAGAGAGTGATTTACTATTATCCATGATCAAGAATACAAGAAGCTCACTAAGAAAAATGAAGAGAAAAAACATTTCTATGGCTAAAACATTTTTGAAGGATATATATCATTTTAGTAACATTATTTTAGTTGCAAGTATTTTTGAAGCATTCGATTGGGACAACATTTTTGGAATGTCCGAATAATATCGATGCTAATTAAGTACAATTAAATAAAAATAATCTATATGATTTTTTTCTCACTATATATAGTAGTCTATAATTCTACTATTGTTACATCCAATTTGTTATTAATTCAACTTATTTGCTCATAAATTAATTAGGCTTGGCTGAATGTGTAGCTTTAAGAAATTTATGATTATTACTTAAATCTAATTAATGTGTGCTAGCAGTTTGGCATCCTGCTTACCCTATACATACTTTAATCACCTAAATGTTTGTTAGACGTTTAAATTAATAAATTATTATATACAAGGATGAAGAAAGTGTGTTTAGCAAATTTTTATACAAAACAACTAAAACAATGCTACAAAAACTGATATTAATTAATTTAGAGGTGTACATGGCCGGGTTGGTTCGGGTTTTTCAAATATCAAATCAAACCATTTGTGTTGGATTTTTAAATCTATAAACCAAACCAATAAAACTCGGGTTTTTCAACTTCGGGTTTTTTCAGGTTTTTCGGGTTTTTTCCGGAAAAGTATTCATACAAACATATAATTTACTTGTACTTCAAATATTTATTTAGTCCTACCAAAATA